GGAAATGGGGCCGGTGTACACATGGGATTGCAGAGATCGGCGACGGTGTGCTTACGGGCTCCGCAGAGTTCAAAATCTGAAGTGGAAGGTCAAAGTCGTTCCCTTTGCTTGTATGTTTCCTTCTCCGTGCGGGTCATGCAAGGAGAACCACACTGAAGATAGCAATCCTTGCACCTACACTTGGAACAGAGGGTGCTTGGCTAGAGAGGTGCTATGGCGGGCCATGGACCGACTGTAAGCTGAATGTATGGGAAAAAGAGCAACGGGAAAAAGAAGTTTCAATGATCTTAAAACCTGACCCCACAAACCCAGAGCACTGTAGTTTGCGAGGGAAGAGATACAGTTGGTAGATCTGCATCATGGCTTTGGGCACGTCCCACTTGCACACACACGTCCTCTGATCGTGATAAGGAAGAGCCCACACGTGAGCGCTCGGGGCTTGGACGCACGCGATAGATTGGGGTGCATCAGCAAGGCAAAACTGTTGGCAACAGCCCCTGGCCTTATGGTATCCATAGGCTTTATAAGTATTCGAGCTCACGACCTGGCACTTAAACCACCAGTACCTGTACACTGTTTTTTCCCAACTCGAAATCAAGGTGCAAAATCAAATTGTTTTGGCTGGTGATGCCGGCCTTTTTTTCTCTCCAAAAAAAGCCCTTGTGCAAAGCCTCTATCCCGGTGGTGGTAAGAGAACCACTGGAATTGAGGCTTTGCCTGACAGGCTGCTCCATATATTGGTGGGGAACATTACCTGCTGGAAACCGGGCCCAGCATCCCTTGAGTGTCTCTTAAAAAAGGCTTCCATCTCATCTTTTGGGATCAGTTCAAACTTCATCCAGGAGCCTTTCTCGGATCTCCGATTTGTTTTTCAGACCCTTTCCCTCCATCTGAGCTTTCTATGGTAGAAAATTACTAGAAATGCAATGGTAAGGTCTGGGGAGAGTTTGAGAAAGGTTAATCAAGGCTAACACACAGGAACAGAATAGCTTGGTTGAGATGCAAAACCTTCATCTAAAAAAAGACATTCAACAGATTATTAAAAAATTTAACCTGGACTGGTTGGGGGTCGCTGCAGGGAGGGGCTTGGGTGAGGTGAAATGGCCAGGGGAAGAAGAGAGAGGAATATCTCTAAAAAAAGACTTCCATCTCATCTTTCGGGATTGGTTCAAACTTCATCCAGGAACCTTTCTCAGATCTCCGGTTTGTTTTTCAGACCCTTTCTCTCCATCTGAGCTTGCTTTAATTCCAGTCCACTTTGCTCTGATTTCCGTTTGTATAAATTGAACAATAAGATCTTGTGTCTCATGGCCATCTAGGCTCACCTTCTCATGTTCTCTAACACACCTTTCATACCATAAAACCCATAGTATTGCTTTACGCCGTTTACGGCCTATTACAAAAAGATTATTTTGAAATTTTGATATAGTGAGATATAGGCATTCCCAATACCCCAGCGAAATAGTTTTCCAATCCCAGGGCCAGTCTATACCTGTTAGGTCTCTCCAAGTACAATCCCATCTTCTCCATAAAAGGACTGAACCCGGGCATTGCATGAACAATAGAATATGTGTTTGATGGTTTCCCTGGCTTTTTTACTAGGAAAAGCGGACAGACAGGTTGTACACGATGGTAACGCCAAACCGTGCTGTTCCAATGACGAATGATCAATCAGCCAGTCGTTGGTGGGCAGGCAACGGTGAGCTATCTGCCATTGCAAAGCTCCAAATTTCGCCGGTCTTTGTTTAATGTTTTTGAAGAATTTTATAGGTTTGAGCAAGTTTATGTCAACATTGAGGTGCCTTGCCCACCATTCTTGCAGTACAGCTGTAATATTCAGCTTAGGGCGGATCATACGGTATACCGCTTTGCCCGCGGTAGGCCGAGCACTGGGTTGGGTGCCATCTACGGCAAAAGCTGCAGTTGTAGTTGTTGAGCAACATACCATCACCGGGAACAATGGTAAAACAAAAGTAGAACGAGCCCACGGTGCTGGCTAGGTGCATGTGTGTGTGTGTGTGTGTGTGTGTGTGTGTGTGTGTGTGTGTGTGTGTGTGTGTGTGTGTG